AAAAAAACATAAAAAAATATAAAAAATATATAATAAAAAAATCCACGAGTTCCAAAAAGAAAGGGCCTTTTTTCACTCTTTTTTTTTTTTAATTTTTAAATTTTTGGGGGCCAGAAAGAAAATGCGTTAAATTGGAAAAAAAAAAAAGCTGGACAATTAATTATTGGCATTGAAACCCAGTTGAGACTTTTGGAATGGCTGCATTGATTTCCTTTCTCATGCTTTTCTTTCCTTTTTTCTTGCGTTTGGAACACTAACTCTTTTCTAATTAGTTTGGGAAATTACTAACTAACTTCCGGTTTTGGGTTTCTCTTTTCTTCATTTAGAAGAAAAAAAAAAGAAAAGGTCCGTTTGTTTCGCAGAAAATGAGTCATTTGGAAAATATTTTCCAAAAAACGATAGCTTGTATCAACTAAAATAATTAGTCAACTAAAGATATTTTCATTATCGACAATAATTTATATCTAAAATTTTTGTAAACGATGAAAAAAAATTTCGTTCATTATTTTTGAAAAGGATACAAACGATTGTGTTTTGGAAAATGTTTATTTTTAGGAAACAAACGCACCCTAATAATCCATAACTTTGGCCATGTGCAATGTCATCTCGGACTTTTAATTCATTTAATATGGTTCTTGAATTTAATCCTTAAATTTTCAATTTGTGTAATCTAATATGTCAACTTTCCAGGACAAAGTCAAGCAAGTAATCTAGTATTATTCACAATTTTCATAAATATACTACTGCCCCAAATTTATAATATCTTTTCATTCCAATCATTTTCCTCAATCTAGATACGTTCCTTGTTTTTTAGATTGATAAAATTTTCAATCGTTTGTACTTGGATTAATTTAAGTACGGATATCTACAGAGAATTAATACCAATTCAAATATCTTTAAAAAAAACAATTAGAGATAAAATTGTAGGAATAACAACCCGATATAACTTTAAATGATGTTCTACTTTTACTATAATCGAAATTATATAATAAATTCACCTAAAAAAGTTATGGTAATATTTATGAAGACCAACAAGGTAAAAAGATAATAAAAAAGATAGCATATATTCTTTAATTGATTTAAGAAAATGGTTGAAATGAGAAAACATTCTAAAATATTAAAAGAAACTCCTTTTTGCACATTGAGCCAAAATTTATGATCAAGTAACTCCATTTTGTTCATAAGTTGATTTTGTTATTTCGATCTGTTCTTTGTATTTTTTATTTTCTGCCTTTTTCTTGAAGGGTTATTAAAAGAAAAAAAATTTGCATGCGTAAGCATGGAAAAGCGACCCAATGTCCTTATGTCATTAATGACGTGAGATGTTAGAACGATGTTTCCCCTCGTCTCAATAGAATATGCCCATCATTGGCGGTCGATAATGACTCCTAAGCTGTTCATTACTTATAATATCATACTTCCTATTTTAATCTCGTATTTCAAACAAGCATTAAATATTTGGAATGATATTCATATTCTGTTTCCTATTTTAAGATTTATTTTGCTATTTCTTATCTCCAATTTTCTTTTTCATTCGTTCCCTTGATTTAGCATAAACTTTTACAGCACGGGACAAGATTCTCCAAACTTTTTTTGGATAGTATTTATTTAGGTATTCTCTGACCATTAATATTTGGAATTAATTTGTTGTTTAAGTCGAATCAGCATTGTCCTAGAACTTGGATAGTGTTTAGTTAGGTAAATTTCAATGGAGGGTACGTGTTTTCTATGATCTTGTGCTCAAAAGTGTAGATGCGTTTTCATTCAATGGCATTTAAAAAATTAAGGATAAGTGCATCAGAAGTCTTAAAATTTGTCATAAAGACGCAATTAAGTCCTAAAATTTTTAAAAAAAGCAATCAAGTCTTAAAATTTGTCACAAGAGTGCAATTAAGTCTCAAAACTTTCAAAAAGTGCAATCAAGTCTTAAAACTAATCAAGTTTATGCAATCAAGTCCTAAAACTTGTTAACATTTTCCGTTTGTCAAGTTGGACAGAATTAATGAAGGACTTGGCTGCATCAACTTGACAAGTTTAGGAATTGATTGCACTTTTTGAAAGTTTTAGGACTCAATTGTACTTTCTTGACAATTTTTAGGACTTGATTGCATTTTTTGAAAATATTTAGGATTCAAATTTGAGGACTTTATTACCCGTTGGAACACCATTGGTGTCCCATTGGGTACGAGGTTTTGTGTTCGACTATCCCCTCTTTGTAAGTGGTTCGTCAAAAAGTCAATATACATCTTACCTTACCAAAAAAAAAAAAAATTGAGGACTTTCAATACAATTTTCCCAAAAACTTACTTCACGATGTGAAAAGTTACTAACAAAAAAATAAATGGGGAATTACTTCGGTGCATATGATATTTACTTTGTCATAGTAAAATTTACTGACTAAATTAGAAGTAAATTTTACAAGTTATTTATTCTCTATTCCAGTTCATTGTAGATAGTAGACACTAAATTTCCAAAGTCCAAAATATGTACCTCTGTCCCAGTTTGTTGTCAATACTAAATTGCCGGTCCAAAAGTATCTCAAAGCCATCATAAAATTATTAGTATATTTGATACATCTCGAGAAACATTTCATATAGAAAATAAAGTTTCAGTTGATTATAACATGAAAATGAAAATTGAGAAAATAACACAAACAGTCCCCGAACTTTGGTTCGATGTGCAATGTGATCCCTAAACTTTAATTTGTTTATTGTAATCCCTAAACTTTAATCTAATGTGTAATGTGGTCCCTAAACTTTTAATTTATTCAATGTCATCTTTGAATTTTTGATACATTTTCAATTTTTTTTTGGTAAGGAAGGGTGGTACATTTTCAATTTTTCTGAACTATGTAAAAATATTTGATGTAGTCCTTCCATTAAATCAAGTTTAGGGACTATATTGAACATTTTCATATAGTTTAAGGACTACATTGAACATATACTAAAAGTCCATGATCACTTTGAACAAATTAAAAGTTGAGGAACCACATTAAACATTAGGCTAAAGTTAAACATTAAACTTCACTGAACAATTTAAAAGTTCGGGAACCAAATTGCACATTGAGCCAAAGTTCAGGGATTGTTTGTGTCATTATCCCATGAAAATTTGCCACATTTGTTGGTAGTCTTTGCAATTACAAAAGTAAAGTTCCCGTCCATAAGTAATTAACAATTTTTTTCTTTTTTAATAATATCTTAACTTGGAAGTAATTTAAATCTATCAAATATGAATTAGTAACCTATGAGCATCCTAAGTAATTTGAATATCTAACAATAAGCAATATTTGCACTTTGCTTTGTAATTTCCAAAATTACAGATGTAAGCTTTCTATTATTAGTGATTAGTAATTTCGACAAGTAGCTAGCAAATTTTTCATTTTAGAGGTATTGTAACTACTAGTAAAGTTCCCAAGTATTTAGCATTTTCTCAACACTAGATTTAATTTTCATAAAATTCGTTTTAAATAACTTTGAATTGGAAGTTACTAATAGCCCACAGGATTATAGAATTTGTCAGTTACTAAACTATGATTTCGACAACACAATGCAATGCTCAACTTTCATTTCTTTTGTAATTGGTCCACTTTAGCCACTTTTTAGAAAAATTGATTTTCCAACTAAAATATGACATAACATTTTATGTGACTTACCACATATGACATTGTGTTCCCCACAAGGTCCCCCCTCAGCAATACTATAAATAAATAAATAAATAGTAAAGCATTCTAAAAGTTTTAGAAAATTGAAAGAAAATACCGTCATAAGGCCCTCTACCATTAAATGGCGAGAGCTCGTAAGCTCTTGTCACACCGGTGGCAAAGAGTCTGTGAGCCCTCTATGATGGACCGGATTATGTGAGTCCCGTTCATATGAATCGTTGAATGAGGTGAGACTTACATGAGACGCACTAAATCTTATGGATCATGTGAATTAGCCTTACATGAACCGAGTGTAGACAATACTTGCTTCTCTGTGACATGGGCATCACGTCAACTGAGCTCTCTCTCTCTCTAATTGATGTGGCGCTTATGTGGCAGTGGCTACGAGGTACCACATACATGTTCGTCAAAATTGCAAATAATTGTAAAGATTGGCTAATATAACTCCTTGAAAAACGTTTGGAGCGCATCAATTAAAAAAGAAAAGTTGTGCTTATTAGGCGATTAAAATTAGTGTTGAATGTAGTGACCCCTTGATGTAGTGGGCACCACAGATCCCTAAAATACAACACTATCAGTTAGTTTTACACTAATTAAGTCTTTTACCTGTAAGTAAGTTGGTTACTTTGAATGGAATAATCACCAAAAAGAAACCAGAATTTATATGGGAATTCACCATTAAACTATATTCTTAATCACTAATGTCCAGCAAACCTTTTGCTGCTACTCTCTGGCCAAAAGCTGGACTGTTTTGACAAAACATGATCAGGATTCAAAGTGACGGTGCCCATGGCTTGATGGGTCATAAATATCACCAAGCCATCCAGGTGAGATTGTAAGAGTTCAGGCTCATTAGACTGAGAAGTTTCTTTAGCTCATCATCCTAGTAAACAACGGCACCGAAACTTGAAGTCCATCTGCAAGAAAAGGCTCAAAGTTTCAACCAGTAGAACACTGGTGAGACTTTGCCTACTTACTGATTATCACTGAAAAAAGTCGATCCTTGGTCATTCCGAATGCCTCGAATAGTCATCGAATGGATGTTTGGAATATCGGGAAGGATTGCTTGACTGATAAATATTTTCATCTTTTGTAGGCAAAGAAAAGTAGCGTTCAAAACGACATGTCGTAAATGGCACTGTACCAGATACAAGGTATTTAGACGAAAAAGGATGAGTAGCTTCGAAATACCATGTTTCCTGATCCAACCAGACAGTCTGATTATTCTATTATCTGATGAAACCATATTGCAGTCCCCACAGGTACACTAGATTGGTTATTTTTACTATCTAGCTCAACAAAATAGACATCAGCTAGGATTAAAATTGACAATTGCGAGTTAGAGACAAAAAAAGGTGTATTGCTTCACAAAAGGATCATCATAGACGTTTACATCCGCCGAAATTGCACAGCTCAACCAGTATTAGTTATGTACAAAGGTAAGAGGCAAGAAGCGGGGGTAAATATGAAAAGTCTGAGACTCTGTTAAGAGTTAACACTTCATTATTTTTTATATGTAAGCTTAGCCAAGATAATTTAGTCTAGCTATAGACTGAAGGTGCTTGGATCCTTGGGAACCATCACAAGTATGGCTGGCCTATATTTGAGTACCGCCACAGAAACGGCAAAACTGCTTGCTTTTGAGTATGTCTCAGATCCTGGCAAATCAAATTAGCACAAAGCTCGGTTTTCTGGTTTGAGGGCGTGTTCTCTGGCTGGCAGCAACAGCTGTGTTAGCCGGCTCCTTTGTCCGCCTGGACAGGATCTTATCATCAGTGGTCTCCTTGGGTTTTCTTGTGCTCTTAGGCTCATAGTAGACAGCTTCTTTTGAGACATCCTTAGGCTGACCATTTCTTGAACGGAGGGGGTTATTATTCTTCAAAGCTGAAGGCCGCTCTACAATTCTTTTGTTCTTTTTCCCTATCATCACATCATTATCTGTAGATCACATAAACAATAGGCTGAGAGTCACATTACTTGAGAGGCAACAAAAGTTAAATAAACCACACATGGAATTGCAAAAGAGAATCAATGAGTGCTTGAATGGTGCTATTTCCTCCACTATAGAAACTTAACAGTACTGGGGGGAGAGAGAGAGAGAGAGAGAGAGAGCGGGGGGGGGAGTGGGTGGTGGTTGTGACGGTGGTTTGTATTTACCAGGACTAGATAACACTGCACGTGGACGAGGCACTGCGCTGGCTCTGATGTTTAGTTTAGAATCTTCATCGGATGTTGATTCGCTCATCCCTGCCATTGTCAATGAAAGGTTGTCAGATGTATGTAATAATTAAGACATCGCAATATGGCCATTTCTAATGGACATGAGCAATCGAAAGGCCGAAAAAAACCTTCAGATACTGGATATCTCAGAGCATTTTCCATGGAACTCTTTTGGACCCTTGCTGTGCATTGTCGAAAAACTTGATGCTCCTGCACTATAATCAGAAAATGTATAATCAAGCAATTGTTTGAAATACACAGAAAAAAAAAGAAAAAGAAAAAGATCAACCATATGTCAAGGCATAAAAGCTGATCATATACGAAGCATCAAGCAGCTGTTGGATGTTAGCCACAGCAAAAACCACCTAATTGATCTACAGAGGGATTTGCTTCCTGGCTACATGAACCATAAGCATCTTCTCTGATAAATTACTAGATAACTAGATGTTAATTGAGTTTTATGATCTCTCTCTCTCTCTCTCTCTCTCTCTCTCTCTCTCTCTCTTTCAAGCAGACACATCCTCTCATTATAAGTTTCTTATTAGAAAAAGAAGATCCTCATGCATGACAACATATGTACTAGTGGAACTGCAAATTAGAATAGAAATATTCAGTGGCAAAAGGCTACTTATGCATGACAACATATGTACAAGTGGCCCTGCAACTTAGAATAGAAATACTATGTGTCACAAGGCTACAAAAGATTACATCTCTTTTTGGGAATGAGAAACAAAAACTCTCATTATTTTGCAGTGCCGACCATCTTATGTTGACTTGAGACCCTTAACTTTCAGCAAGAGTCTCATCAAAATCAAATCAGATATTCCAAGCAGCAAGAATCTTCTCACAATTAGGTTAGTACCAGCACCTGCTAGGCTGCTACTATAAGCACAGCAAAGCATTTTTTTACAGAAAACCTGCTATCCATGGAGTTTGAGCAAAAATCTGATGTCGCACAAATGTAAAGCTATTATCGAACCTTAACTAGCTAGAAGACGTGTTTTTTTTTTAAAAGTCATACATTGTAAAGCATTTAAATGTGATTATGTATTCTATATCCTTACACAGGTCCAGTGACCAACTTACTTTCCCCCCTCTTTCCCTCTAGATGTGGGCATTTCTATGGTGCCGTGAGCATATAGTAGGCATAGTTGCCGTGTCGCTTGTCAACCATCTGATTTAGGAGTTTTAATGTCAGTCATATACTCAACATCTCTTGTCAGCCGTCTGATCAAAACCTTGTCGACCTAAGGCTTTGGATTGAGCATGGCCGAATTACAGTGCTCAAATTTACAGGACTGTAGAACAGGCCACTAGTAGATCTAACCAAAGGCATTCTCTCATTGATATTCACAATCCAGTGACTTGTGTTGAATTTCAAGCAACCATTTTGGCATAAAAGTTGAGGTGTTAGATGAACAAGCAAGACTGGTGAGTGCCTCTATTTTTACCAACTGGTATTCTCCAAGTAATTTTGCACCTCTGTTCTCTACACAATAAAATCGCTTTGCAACAACATCCTTGTTCTGTTTTGACTCTATTTATCTATGGGCACTTGACGTTCGCACTCCCTTCAATAGATCAGTGCAAAACAGAGTAGGAATTTTCCTGCGCCTTTTTCCTTCGCCTAGAGTGACATCTGACATCAGATTCCATTGTATTCTAGCCCAAGTTCTTCAAGGGAAATCAAAACCTACCCTAATTCATCGACCGAAGCTGATGCTGATGATCTGGAATAACTAAAGTCCCTAAGCAAGGAAAAATCGAAATCAAGAACAGAGTGCTAAAGGCAACTCAAAATATCAAAATTCAAATTCGAACCAAAACTGATCATCTGGAATAACTAAAGTCCCTAAGCAAGGAAAGATCAAAATCAAGAACAGAGTGCTAAAGGCAACTCAAATATCAAAATTCAAATTCGAACCAAAGTGAACTCTAGTATCAACCCTTTAAATCACACGAAAGTCCAAGTTTCCTCAAGTCCCAGGAGAGGCACCAGCAGCTGTTGTCCATCCATAACCAAGAAAAGAAAATCATCCAGGACTAATCGCAGTCACACAAAGCATTCACTAAACCACTAAACCTTCGGTGCTTTGTCAGGGAAACGAGCATCAGATACGATCAACTGGGTGCGAAGAAAAATAAAACCAAAGATATTTACCAGGAGGGTCAAAATCGTGCAGAGAGAGGTAGTCGAGAGCTTTCAGTCCCAGCAATGGACTCTTGGGAACATCACGCTTAACATCATCGCGATCTCCACAATCGTCTCTCACCTTCACCTTCACCTTCACCATCGCCTTCGGATACACTGCCAAAATCATTCACCAAAACAACAACATATTCACTACAAAGTCAACTCTCGCTCTCCAACCGAAACAGTAAAACCGGACGTCACAAAAAAAGAAAAGACGAAGGCATCATCTTTGCGACAAGTACGAAGAAATGACCGCGAATCAAGAAGACCCAGATGAGGAAACTCACTCACTCTTCCTCCTGATGAATACCCGAGAACTTCCCCGCGCTGCCGGTTCTCTTATCTTTGCTCCTCCAACAAAAAAAGGGAAAAAAAGAAAGAAAGAAGGAAGCAGCAAACTCGTGGGCTCCGAGTTCTGATCCTCGAGCTTGCAAGCGAAGAAGGCGAGCGACACTGATGATGACGGAGCAGGAGGAGAACGTGCGGGTCTGGTGATCAGCGAACCGATTCCAGAACCCGAAAAAGCAAGCTACCCAAATCACGTTTCGTAGCCTTTGCCTCTGATTTCGTAACGGAAGAAAGAAAGAGAAAATCATAAAAGGAAGAAGACAAAGTCGTGTGTGAATCGAATGGCTTGGCTCTCTGACTGTGTGACTTTGGACAGGCGCATCGTGGAAGGCCACGGGGCCCGACATGTAAGAAGGGAGAGTTGCCAATTTTCGAACGAGGATATGATGATTCTCAAGAAACACGACGTCAACGGTCACTGACGGTGACGGCGGCGGCCCATCTCCTTACTTTTTCTTTTTCGCTTTTTCTCTTCTTCTTCGCTTTTCTGTCTCCTTGCCGTCCACCTGTTCTGACACAAGGATCCCATTGAAAATGTTGGGAAAATTTCAAATAAAGTCTCGAAGTGTTATGTATGAGATTTTATGAGATCATATTTTAAACGCTTAAACTGTTAGAAAATTTTAATAAAAATATTAGGAAAATTTCAAATAAAGTCTCGAAGTACCGTATGTGAGATTTTATGAGAGTACTACCAACTATTCTAAAAACTTAAAGTTTTGTGAGAGCACTGTCAACTTTAGATTGAGTGACTATTATGACCCTAACTTTTTTTTGTCTCATAAAAAATCACCAGCTTTCACTTAAATCCAAAATCTGACTTCTCTTGATTTAGAACCATTGATTATTTAACTTGATTATTCCACATTAGCAATAAATCCACATGGCTTGTCGACTGGATTGAAAGAACTATTCATTGTCTTCTTCTCTAAGCCACAGCTTGAAAAATAACAATGAAACTGTTCATCTCCTTCACTTCACCGGCAAGTCAAAAAGATTTCCAGATTAGATTGAATCTCTTTGGTCAGACTTCGTCGTTTTGTCATAATTTGAAGCTGTAGACCATCGCCCGTTGACAGACGTCATAAATGAGATATGCCAAGCTCACGACCATAATTTTCTTTTCTCAAACAAGGGTGACTTCAGACATAAAGTCAACGGGGGACTAGATTTGGGATAAAGGTGAAAGTTTGTGATTTTTTATGAGACAAAAAAAAGTTTATGCCAGAATTGTTACTTGATCTAAAGTTGGTGCTTTTTTACAGGACAAAAAAAAGTTTGTGTCAGATTGTTACTTGACCTAAAGTTTGTGCTTTTTTTTTGGAATTAGCCCTTTTATTACTCTGTCACCGTGAAATAAAGGTCTGAAGCATATCTTGTTTCAAGTAAGGGTCTCAAGTGGTCATATAAGGACCTCACCTCATTGACTGATCAATATTATTTTCGTCTTTTAATTTTTTTGATTTTTTTCTTTCTTTTTGTCCTATTTTTTTTATTTCCATAAAAAACAAACTCAAAAAGAAAAAATAAACAAAAAGAAACATAAACCCTTCGCATGTGGCTGTCACCCCATCATCGGTGTGGTGAGGGGTGATGGTCGGCAATCCTCGCTAACCAGAGATGCCCTCGCTAGAATCGGAAGAGGGCCGTGACCCTCGCCTCGGTTTGGGCGATGGTCTTAGGCCTTCGCCCAAGTTGGGGAGGGCTGCCACGAGGGCCGACGACCCTCATCTAGATCTAGAGAGACCCTCTCCTGATAGGTCCTTGTCTCTGGTAGGCAAGGGTCACTGGCTCTCAACGAGGCGCTGACGACCTTATCGGCCATCGCTGCCACCCCACCGACGATGGGGCGATAGCCACAAGCGGGAGGGCTGGGGCCGACGACGTTAGGCTATTATTTGAAACTATTATAGCCACTTCATATCCTTATTTGAGAAGATCAGGCACTTCAGACATTTATTTGGAATATTCCCAAAATGTTCAAATATTATGAGGATAAAACTCCACTTTTTAGCGAAGGTATATTTGACTTTTTTTTAGCTGTAAACGCCTAGTATTTTCAAAACATATAAATATCGATACGTAAAACTTATGTATATTTCTCAATGATCTTTTGCATTTGCATTTATATAATATTGTAAATCTTGACGAGAAATTATAAAAAAAAATTGTTTTTTACGGAGGCTTGAATTTCAAACAAATGAGTCCTGAAATTTGAAGATATTTACCGAAATTCGCATTTTTTAGAAAGAAAATTACGAGTAAAATTTGGAAATCGAAGATGAAGTGTCAACGCTTTTACTAATATTTATGGTTATTTTCGACCAAATGTCAACGAAATTTGCCGACTCAACCCTGAAAAACAATGCAGATGATAAAAGGGTCACCTAACCCTCCTCATCTCAAAGGTTCACCTAAGATTTTTCTGCCTTTTAGGTTGGTCCAACATATACAAATTAAGAAAATAGAAAATTCCCTAGCCAAAAAAAAAAAAAAACCCAACAATAAAAAGGTGTAGAATCATCTGGTGAATAGGATATTGCCATCAATTAAAAATGAAATATTGTATTCTTGGGTCGAACGCAAGCACATCTCTTCAATGATTGTTAATTTTATATTAATACCATGTGCTTAAGCAAATTTGACCGGGGCCTCCTGCATTAATGACGGGCAACATGCGTTGCTCATGATCTTGTCCGTTGAGCATTAAAATAAGAATATATTCACAAGGAGCAATTTGTGGAAATGTGTGGTCGTCGTTTGATGGAAATTTGTGCAAAGAGAGACATAGCCTTACTTCCAAATAATGAGTAATTTACTTACTTAACTGGTCATTCTGATGCAATCTTATTGGGCTGCGATCACATAGGGTCGATACATAGACCCGAAGAGCTAGACAGACTCATTCTATTGTGTGAAACCTGACTAGGATATCATTGTTAAAAATATATCTAGAGATTCTACTTATTGCACTTGATTCTCCATATCTATCAAGATTGTGCATATATATATCTTTATTGTGCATATATTGATTGGATTGATGTGGTAATATCTTGTTATCTTAGGTAATTATCTTGTAAAGTCTATAGTTATGCTTATGCTTTCCTAGAAATATATAGAAATCACACATTCTTTTTCTGCATTATTCTTATCATGACATCAAAACACGAGGTTATGAGTTCAATTCTTTTCCAATCCCCTATTTGTCTCCGTTGTTATATATTCCCATGCTTAATCTTAAGCCAAAGTCTAGGATACGCGTGCATGGATCCTTTGAATATTTACAAATTTGTGTAATTACTGTTTATATTAATAAACAGTACATGAGCCTATTTATAATTTTTATAAAATAATTATCCAAGGTAACAAGATAATATGATAGTAATTATAATTAATCAAGAGAGATATATGCAGATGCATGCACAATTCTAAAAGATATTGAAAATCAAGGGAAACATCCAAAACTAGAGTTTGCAAAAAAGATTCCAAAACCCTAAAAAAAAATACCTAGTGGTAATGCTAAAGAAAGAAATCGCTGACCTAGTGTTGTGTGTTGTCGTGGCTATTGTTGCTATGAGTGTCGCGCAGGGTATGCAGCAATAGGATGCCGTGACCATTGGACAAGATGAACGATTGAAAGAGGGATACTGGTAGTCATTTATAAGGATAATTATCTAAAAAGAGAATGATAAGAGATACGAGGTGTGCACTCACATGTGCTCCAGGTGCGATGTGCGCTCAAAACTTCTTAGGACTGTCTACGTATAATGCGGAAGAGACAATTGTGTATTTTTAGTCTATTTCTGCATATATCATAATGAAGAGAACGTAAACTTATTTATAAATTATACTAGATGACTATATAAGTAACAAGATATTACGGGATCAACTATAATCAATAAGGAACATGTATCATCGGGGAAAATATATGCACAATCTTGATAAATATGGAAAATTAAGGGAGATATGTAAAATCTCCTAAATATATCTTTAACAGTAATAAAAAAAAGTATCATTGAAAAAAGGAAATGGACTTGCTGACGGTGCGAATGAGCAAATTGTAAGATTAGAAGATGTTTTAATACAAAGTCAAGGAGATTTTGATATTAGACAAGGGGTTAAGGAGATTTTGATATTAGACAAGGGGTTAAGAATATAAAGGCTTTCGACCAAAAAAAAAAAAGGTTATAAAGGCCTTCTCATCTTTAAACATATAAGTATCATAATCTTGTTTGGATACAATTCTTATTAAATTGTATGCTTGACGCTCCCCATCTTCTTTTGGCCTACAAATTTAATGCACCCTTTTGGCGTCACACATATAGGGTGCTTTAAACGAAAACTTAGTCAACCAATTTAACATTAAAATTTTTTCCTTAAAATGATTATTTGTATTGCTTACAAAAATAAATAAACAAAAAAAAATTTTCACAGTTCACGAAAATGTTTAAATACAGATTGTTTCTGGTAATGATGACTGTTGACACCTATTTTAATTTGTCCAAAATTAATTGCACAAAATTTAGGAGTTAATTTTCTTTAATTCCTAAAGCAAAAATATTTCAATTTAAATGCATTGCATATAGAAATTAGGTACATTTTATATATTAATAGGGTCCATTAGAATGTTAAAAAAAAAAAAATTCGAGTTGGGTCGGGTCGGGGCCGGGCCGACCCGGCCGTTTTCTTCTTTTCTTTTTTCCTTCCCCCGCACGGGCCCAAGCCCTTTTTCTTTTTTTTCTTTCTCCCCCCACGCGGGCCCAGCCCGCCCCCTTTTTTTCTCTTCCTTTTCTTCCCCTCATGCGAGCTGGGCCTAGCCCGGCCCAGCTCCCTTCTCCTTCCTTCTTCCCCCGCCAGCTGTCTCTTTCTCCGCCCCTGTGCTCCTCTGTTTCTGACGTCGCCACAACAAACGGCGGAGCGCGGCCGCCCCGTCCCTATCTGGCCAGAGCAGGGCCGAGGCAGCACGCCACAGGGACTGGCCATTAAGGCCAGTCCCGTCTTCCCCATTTCCCGGGCTCTCTCTCTCTCTCTCTCTCTCCCCGTCTCTTCTGCGTTGCACTGAATCGGCCCCCCCTCTGCACCGGCCTAAGCGGCCGCGAAAGTCGCGGGCCAGAGTAGGCCGGTGCAGGCCGTCGTCAGCCGACGTGGGGGAGCAGAAGCAGTGGCTCTCGGCCACTATAAAACCAGAGAGGAAGAGAGAGGCCCCGGTCGGCCATTTTGAGTGACAGAGAGAGAAACAGAGAGAGAGGGGGATTGAGAGAGAAAACCGAGAGAGAGAAAGAACAGAC